AGAGAGAGAGAGAGAATATTCTCTATTCGATGCCGGTCGATTTAGTCAAATTACGCGAACGCCTTCCGCGTTAAATTTACGAATACGAATACGGCGCGAAGCCGAAGCCGCCGAATGCGAACCTTCAGCCTTATTATATTGTCGTTGTGTCTCATTCATTTTTCAGTAAGTGTACCGCGCAGAGAGGTGCACGTGGTAATTTAAAAAGCTGTCTGCGATGCGACATTTTTAAATGCACACAAAGTGCGGTGCGCCTGAAACATAAACCCCGAAGAGGGAAAGTACTCAAACTCTTCGGAGTGTATACGCGTGTTACTCTTAAACTTAAAATGTAAATGTACGTCTGAAGTACATACATTACGTGCAACTTTGGCTTTTGCAAGGGGAATATTACCTCCTGTGCCTTTTGTTATGTTTATATGATGATTGATTCAAGTCTATTAACAATTATCACTTGAATGTTGTATCGAAAGGAATATCAAATAAATAAACAAAATCTTGAAACAAAATGGTTCGATACAGTTACAGTTTTATTAAAAAAAAACAACTGCAGATATAATTAATTGTTGAATCAATTAATTGTTGAATTGTGAGGAATAAAAGTCGAAGTATATCTCAAGACAAAGTTTATTTAAGCTTCTTAAATGAATCGTGATTGTAAATACACCGTAATGAAAATTGATTATCAAGATCTATTTATTAAATCTCCTTATCATATCTCAAGCTTTCCGTTAAATTTTCTTGAGAAAATGGAAACCTTGACTATAAATGTGAGGTCCTTAATGCTTCGCACGTTTGCGGAAAATGAGAAGACGATAAGAATCCAATTTTGTCCCTTGGAACGTGGAACGGTTAAACAATAATATTTAATTAATTTGTCCTGAGGAAATAAAGGATGAGATAGATAATGCTCATCCTTTAGATGTCGAAATACTTGCGATACGGCGAAATACTGGCAACATAAATAGCCTCTCGTTTAGTTTACAATGATAATATTATTATTGTTGTTATTATTATTATTATTATTATTGTTGTTGTTGTTGTTATTATTATTATATATCTTGCAAGAGGAACAAGGAAGATCTTTGAGATCGTGTCAAATTCGCTGGTTTCACGTCGGGAAAATGCAAGGAACGGATGACTTGGACGACTAAGGTATGAATGCGCGCGCTACTACAAATTCGCGAGAATAATAGAGAAACTAACACAGTGTGACTGGTAGTGAAGTCTGACATTTCGAGGAAGAAAGGAGACGTCGGGATAATGTGACCAGTCGTCGGGACGCAAACACGCTCGGGCGATCTACTTTTCTTGGCCTTAATTATACCTATCCGGCGGCAGCGGGGTATCATTCTCTTTCCGGATAAGAAAACGGCAAATGAACCCACGTCCCAGCCGTGGGCCGAATTATATAAGATCGAATCCCTCGGTCCTTTCTGTTATTCCGCAACTATAACGACGAAGGGAGCAATTCTTCTGATTCCTTCGCCGCGGGAATCAGCAGCGATGAAATCTGCCCCCTAATTCCCTTTTGGCATCCGTCCCTTTTCGGCATTTCGGATTGACTTTGCGGTTTCTTCCCTTATGAAAAGACGCAATTAAACATGGACGATTAGTCGTCACCTGATTCCAAAATGACGTCTTTTTCGAGTCGATTTATACATTTCAAGATGAGAGATTTTGCGAGCAGTTTTTATGTTACGTATCGCTAATAATGTACATTAGCTTCCCTAACTTTTTATCGATTTATCTCTTCAGCAGTTTCGCGGATTTAAAAAAGAGAGGGTAACGCCGAAAATATATGGAATATATAATACAATAAAAAGGAAGAAGAGAAAAAATAAATTATTACAAGGCAGGGCTAATCAAAATTCATTGCCGCGAACAAAACGCCGGCGCGATTATACGTGGATTTTTCTAGCAAGAGAGAAAAATGCAAATTCTTATCGTAGAGAATAGCGTAGAAGCAACAAAACTGTGCGCTGGATGTCTATCTCAAAGCTTTGCAAACACTTGCCGAAGGTCGGGCATAAATATTCGGAGGGAGTATCACGGTCCGCTGCGCTAAAGCGATTTTTCCAACATGTTTGCGCCGAAATACCAGAGCTATCTTTTTGAATACAAATTGATGAGCGGTATTCATTATTGTAAATTGTAATCGAATCAGTAACCGCTGGATACGCAACGGTTAGTATATCTAACGCAAATCGCGTGAGAAGAATATAAATCTGCTTTTTTTAATCATCCAAGGAAAATAATGAAGTACAGCTCGTAACTATCTATCGGGAAATCCAATTTAAGTTATTTCTCAAATAACCATCGTCTACAAGCTGTCCCCAACTGATTACGAGAACTATACCTGCGAAGTTGAGTAGGTCGTTAATTTCAACGAAAAGGAGAGAATTCCTCTCCGTATGGACAAAAAGCGCGGTATAAGCGCGAAGAAGGGAAGCTAACAATAAAATGAAATTGAATCTCTCGCGATAATAACAAAAAAAAACGATCGGAGGAATCGATAAGTTACGGACACCGTTATATCGCGGCTCTAATCATCCGTACAATTCTTTGCAGAAAATGCTCGTACTCAAAGGAACCCGCGTTGCAGTTCGTTGCAAATTACCGTTGAAAATTAACTCTAAGTGGGAAACTGTACTGCTGAAACAATCGATAGCTTTATTTTCACACTGCGCTAATAATTAGTCGCATCATGTCGATGCGTTTCACAGAATATTAAATACGGGAAATCCCCCTCGTTACCACATTTACCCGCAACATGCGGGATACGCGTGCGAATCTAACAGGTGTTTTCATTAAAATCATTTGACGGCATAAAATCAAAACGTTACACATTTATATAATACATTTATTTAATACATCTATTGTTATTTATTATAAAATAATAATGATCATTTACATATTAAAATGACCAGAATGTAATCTCCTGAGTTTAATTAAATATGAAATGCGTAAGCTGATTATCCTCTTATCATTACGTTATCCCAACAATATAATTTGCAGCGATGATTACAGATTATGTAACAGCAGCTGTCTGCGATTTTTTACAACAGAAATCTTGAATTACGACAGGTGGATTGTAATTTATTCCTACTTTTAAATTTTTCGTGGTTTTTATATTATAAAATGTACATTACGTGATGAATAAACTTTTTTTTATCGAATAAAATTGTTGAGATATTGAAAGTCTCTTCGTTTCCCTTGTCTTTATTTTGAAAGAGACTCCATGGCAAATTAATCGTGGAGAAACGACTGATCTTTTATACCCTGGCTGATATAAACTTTTTTTACATTTCAGGTCGTAAAAATGATGATAGTCGTAGTAGTAATATTCGCGGTGTGCTGGCTTCCGTTTCATATGTACTTCATAGTAACGTCCTATCTGCCAGAAATTACAAATGAACCGTACATCCAAGAGGTATTTCTGGGCATATACTGGCTGGCGATGTCCAACAGCATGTATAACCCTATAATTTATTGTTGGATGAATACCAGGTAAGATTTCATGTTTTTCTATTCGTAAACACGACCGTTTTTTTTTTCTTGCCCCGTCGTTCGCAGTAACATCTCTCGAGATGTGTCGGAATATACCGTAGTTTTGAGATGCTGTAACACAATTTTCTTCTATTACACGGCGCGACGGCACTCGGTGATCCGAGAGTTATTTCTTAAGAGTACTTGTGCCAATTCAACCGAGTTCGCGAGTAAGCAAATACCATAGATACAGTATCGACGAATCCTCTCATTTGTTAACAGAGTTCGCGAAAGTTTTCCCCTTCAACATCTCCGGATATCGCGCGGTGCTTGGCTTCGTAAGTTTGCCGAATGCGATACACAAGGATTGACTTAAATTATTCTATGTTAATTAGCGGAGCTACATAAATTAAACACGAATCTCTTTCGTTACCGTTAAAATATCCGAATCGCTCTTGAGGTACATAATTCCTCTCAACGTGAGCTTAAGTTTTCTATTAACTCTCGCTTATACGTCGCACGTCCGCCGAAACAACGTGAACAACGTAAAAAGTCTATCAATTTTCAGATTATATCCGCTATCAAGATAAAATAATCACACTGGACGTGTTTAAATGTTCACAACGCTAGAGATCCGTAAAAATAGCTTCGTCGCATTTATTGCGATCTTTAAACGCGCGCTTCAGGCTTTATCTTAAGGCTGTTAATTAAGAAGTCTCACGATTGCCGGCGATTTCGCCGTCGTTCTACCTCGCCGAGAGTGTTTGACGAACTGTCGAGAGTTAATCCAATATAACTCAGAGAAGATAAGCTCGTCTGACTTTAGAGATACTTGGGGAGGGGAAGGGGAAGCGGGCGGCCCTCCCCCCTCCCTCCCCCAAGTTATTACAGAACAGGAAGTAACGTCGCCACCATTAGCCACGTTTACACAAACGATCAATTCGAATGCTGAATATCCGCGCTAATGGAAACGCGGTCGGCCGGAGACCGAGATTCCGATACATGCAAAATAAGCGATTCATCGTATCATCGTAGACTAGGTAGGACTATGGCATCGCGGGGGAGGCCGGGTTGTTTTGAAATCTGTGTGTTACCGGCGCGCGGTGAACGTCGCTGATCGATCGATCGTCCATCGAGAAAAGCCGCGCGAATCTTCGGAGAGCAATCGAAATAATTTCGCTTCGCCCGCAAATGGGAATGAGAATGGGGAACGAGAGCCGTTGTCGAGAGGGTCGATCGAACTGTGGCTCGAACCCTCCTTCCTTCTCCCCCCCCCCTCCCGCATCCTCACCCTGTCTCCTCCCCTCGAACCTCCTCTCTTACACGTCACACGCAGTGTACACGTTTTGTTCCTTACTAACATCGGCATTGTCGCTATTTACGGGCCCGTGAAAAAAAAAAATAAATAAATAAATAAATGTAATGTCAAAAACAATAAAGTGGAAATGTAACGTCGGACGCTTCGCTGCGAGCATTTCGGGGGTACAGCATAGATTTCAATTTTTCGCGTGCTATCGACAGAATATGCTCCTGATCTCATAAATATTCATGCACAACGCGATACGCGGTTATCATTCTGTTTCCGCGTTCGAACCACGATCTCATAATGACGGCGAACAATAATAACGGCGATAGGGCAGCGTAATAATTGGATTACGGCCTTCTCGCGGCATTATTCACGGCGTGAATACTTCGCCTCGCGCAATCAGGCGACCTTGGTGGCCGGTCTCTTAAAAGATCTCTTTCCTTTCATAAAAGGAAAATGTATCGTATCATGAAAACAATATGAGCTATATATGAGAAAACTTCACGATCAACAGCTGCCGTATTTCAACTTCCTTCTACGGGAAGAAAAATTGTAAAAACAAAATGTGCGACACTTGAATTATTTCCTTCGGTTGAATGACATCGAGATATTTCCCTTAGGAAAATCATCAAAATTTATTTGGTAACATGCACGGGACAAATTGAGATTATTATTTTTTCTTCATAAATATCGTGAAAAAATTAATGAAATTTTGCATATTTTATGACGTAGAAGATAGAAACTGTTAAACTGAAATAGTATAAATAGGATAAATCTTGAATTGAATAATTTCAATAAATTCGTTAATATTTATAGCTTCAGAGAATATTCAACAATTCTTCCCTATCAATATTCTTTAAGTGCGAAGAATACAAATTATTCGAGTCAAAGTTAGCCATGATAAAATGATGAGCTTTTTCACAACAATTTTAAGAATTAATCTCGCTCATTCGTTTCCAACATGTTCCATCGATTTCCAACGTGTTTTGTGCGTCGCAGATTTCGCCGTGGCTTCGCCCAGTTCTTCTTCTGGTGCCCGTGGGTGCGAGTGACGGCGGAGCCGTCTCTGTCGCGTTCGGAGGCTGTGACGTCCAGGTACAGCTGCACCGGTAGCCCGGACATGCACACCAGAATATCGCGGAATGGTACGTGCACCCTCTCGGAGCGCACTTGCACCACCGGCTCCACAACGCCTAGGAGCGAGTCAGAGCCTCATCTCGAGGACGCTGACCCAGTCCAGGGGGACGCGCACCCATCATCCATAGATTTGCGCCATTTGGTCCCCGACATCCTCGCCAACGTCGATCGTGGCAATGTTGTCGCGTCCACGGATTGCACCTCGCACTGACTCACTCGCACAAAATTTCTTAGATCTTATCGTCTTGCCTTCGAGTATCCGAGTAGTACACTCGCTCAATATGGCGGATCGAAGATATCGCCTCGCGCGTTAAATTATTTGCGTATCTAACACGGAGCGTTAATATAAATGTAAAAATTTGTTTCGTCGATTTTTGATATAAAAATCGTTTACGCAATGTCGTGTACGATGACACAATTCGACGCGAGGTGAGAATCGAATATATTTAGTGTTAAATATGTAGCGCAGATGTACGGGACCGTTCGTTTTGCATTTACTCCGTGGTTTCGTATCGATCACGGTATGGCAAACCAGACGGTACGGCAAACCAGACGGGAAGTAATAAACGCGAAACGCGGAAAATAAACTATGATTGCATGTTTGTTGTTCGTTAACTCGCGAAGGAAAATATTTTATTACAAGATCAAGAATTAAGCTTTTGAATATCTAAAAGTGAATAAATTCACTTAACGAATGCAAAAGAATCTTAGATCTTTGCATATTAATTCGCTCGATAAGATTAATTCTTGATGGCAAAAGATGTTGTGAAGAAAAGAAACATTTAGCATATATAATTTTAGCGTGTTATTTATCATGACATTTTAACTGAATAGACATGTTTTGCTTTATTACAGTTATAAATACTGATATCATGATTTTTCTTTTCTTTTTTTTTTTCAATTACATCTTCACGAACATCCGTTGATGAATTTACTTTTCCTCAGACACTCCCATACCATTGAATTTGCCATTTAAGTACGTGTACATCGCTTTAGTTATGTTGTACGTTATGCTTTCACACATGTTGATTTTAAAGCGGCACGCAATAAAAAGTAACAGTACGCTCCTTTAGATCCTCCCGTTTGATTTTTAATACACGACAACGGACTCGACGACTCGCACGAATTTACACCCGAACACGGTTACGCGTACGGTTAAACCCAAGCGGCACGGAACGGCGCTATTAATCACCGTAGTATAATTGGATGCAGCACGATACGCAGCAATCGATGTATCGATGCAAACAAGCCCTATTTCTAATTCGGTAGGCACGGTGCGAATACCGCTGCACCTGCAATCAATGAGAGGCGGAAACGACCGGCTGTTGGCTCATCATCGCGGCCATGGCAAAAAGTGGAGGACCTCGCAGACCAGAGGACACGTGTCCTGACAGGAGGAGGAAAACTCTCAGCAACAACGAGTACACACCTGGATATGAAAATATCTAGTCCTCTTTAATGCCCGGCACTTTTCGCCGGCCGACCGGCACGACGGTCGGCACGCTCGCATCCCGCGATCCTGGGATTTACAGGTTCCTGGAAAGGGATATCGATTTCCCTCCCGTTCTCAAGCTAGTCCTTGTAACGAGCCAAAGACGCAATTTACTACGTCGAAAACTCTGATCAAGTTTTTCTCTCTCTAGTCACGCGCGAAGAATGTTAATCGTGAAGAAAGATATCTGTGTTATTACATTATGCGAAATGTAATTTAAAAGAATAATTACGTTGACTATCATTAAATTATCTCTATTTACCACTCGTAGTTATCTCTAAACAAAATCGACGGACCAAGCTATTCTATCTACTGCAGTTTCTCCGTAGCGTTAATACGCGGTGTTTTTCAAAAGTGAGCGCATCAAGATTCGCGATTAATCGATGTTAGAAAAGTGTAACGTTTAAATCTAAGGAATAATGATTTATAATTTCGTGACATCATCGATGTAATTGTCGTGTTCCTATCGCATGTACTTATTCTTCCAAAGAGAAAACTAAAAGATCCAAGACTAAGGCTCAGAGTTTTGTTTAAAGATAAGGTAACTTCTTCAATCAATAAGCCTAAGAATTAAAAAATAAAATTTATGTATATTTTACGCTAAGTAAAAAATATAAAATTTCATATATATATATAT